CACGCACCGTGCAGTATGCTGTGGAGATGGAGGCAGGGAGTCCCCCTCGCATTCCTTGGCACAAATGGCCCATAGCATGCTCGGTTGCTTGCGTAGCGACAGCCGAATAATAACCATCAGACAGAGGGATGACTTTTGGCTGTCCACCTTGTTGGACCCTCGCTACCGTTCAAAAATGGTGGCCTTTTTCACACCTGCTGAGAGGGAGGCCAAAAATAACGTACTATAAAAACCACCTATGTAGTCAGTTGGTCTCTGCCTTTGTGCGCCAACGTCCATCCTCAGACACTGTGGGCCCTGTGCGCTCGCGTTCGCTGCCATGGCAGCAGGGGAGGGGTGGGGTGGTAGGAGCAGTGGCAGCTCCACCAGCAGCGGCTGCCTCAGTCTGCAGTCGATGATGAGTAGCTTTCTTCACCAGCGCAGTGAGGAAACTACTAGCCGCAGCAGCAGCAGCAGCATCAGGTGGACCTGGAGCAGGACCTCAAACAACAGGCTTGGGCCTACTTGGACAGCACCCTGCCAACCGAGGTAGACAATCCCCTTGACTACTGGGCAACGAAACTTGACCTTTGGCCCCAACTAGCTGAATTTGCCCTTGAAAGGCTGTCATGCCCGGCCAGTAGCGTGGCATCGGAGCGCGTGTTTAGTGCGGCAGGAGGTATTGTAACTCCGCGGAGGACACGACTGTCCACCCAAAGTGTGGAGAGACTCACGTTTGTGAAAATGAATCAGGCGTGTGGATTAGTCTGGATTTCAAACCACCAGTTCCTGACACAACTGACTAAATCCGCCATGAATCATGCCTCAAACATGCACTTTCAGGACACGACTGTCCACCCAAACACTGCTGGTGTGAGAGACTCACGTTTTTTGTCATAGGGTGCTGGCAGATTACTGGCCTCCCATAGCTGCTGCCAGGCCCCTAATCTGCCATGGGCCCCTATATCCCTCCTCCTGCTGCTGCCAGCCAGAGTCTCTCATGGGTCCCTGTACGGCCTCCCATTGCTGCTGTCTCCATCGCCACACTCTGCCATGTGCCACTTTCAGGTCTCCTCACACACTGCTGGTGTGTTCCATTTTTTGACATAGGGTGCTGGCAGATTACGGGCCTCCCATAGCTGCTGCCAGGCCCCTAATCTGCCATGGGCCCCTATATACCGCCTCCTCATGCTGCTGCCAGGTCCAGAGTCTCTCATGGGTCCCTGTACGGCCTCCCATTGCTGCTGTCTCCATCGCCACACTCTGCCATGTGCCACTTTCAGGTCTCCTCACACACTGCTGGTGTGTTGAATTTTTTGACATAGGGTGCTGGCAGATTACGGGCCTCCCATAGCTGCTGCCAGGCCCCTAATCTGCCATGGGCCCCTATATACCGCCTCCTCATGCTGCTGCCATGCTGCCCAGTCCAGAGTCTGTCATGGGTCCCTGTACGGCCTCCCATTGCTGCTGTCTCCATCGCCACACTCTGCCATGTGCCACTTTCAGGTCTCCTCACACTGCTGGTGTGTGTTGAATTTTTTGACATAGGGTGCTGGCAGATTACGGGCCTCCCATAGCTGCTGCCAGGCCCCTAATCTGCCATAGGCCCCTATATACCGCCTCCTCATGCTGCTGCCAGGTCCAGAGTCTGTCATGGGTCCCTGTACGGCCTCCCATTGCTGCTGTCTCCATCGCCACACTCTGCCATGTGCCACTTTCAGGTCTCCTCACACACTGCTGGTGTGTTGAATTTTTTGACATAGGGTGCTGGCAGATTACGGGCCTCCCATAGCTGCTGCCAGGCCCCTAATCTGCCATAGGCCCCTATATACCGCCTCCTCATGCTGCTGCCAAGTCCAGAGTCTGTCATGGGTCCCTGTACGGCCTCCCATTGCTGCTGTCTCCATCGCCACACTCTGCCATGTGCCACTTTCAGGTCTCCTCACACACTGCTGGTGTTGAATTTTTTGACATAGGGTGCTGGCAGATTACGGGCCTCCCATAGCTGCTGCCAGGCCCCTAATCTGCCATAGGCCCCTATATACCGCCTCCTCATGCTGCTGCCAGGTCCAGAGTCTCTCATGGGTCCCTGTACGGCCTCCCATTGCTGCTGTCTCCATCGCCACACTCTGCCATGTGCCACTTTCAGGTCTCCTCACACTGCTGGTGTGTTGAATTTTTTGACATAGGGTGCTGGCAGATTACGGGCCTCCCATAGCTGCTGCCAGGCCCCTAATCTGCCATAGGCCCCTATATACCGCCCTCCTCATGCTGCTGCCAGGTCCAGAGTCTGTCATGGGTCCCTGTACGGCCTCCCATTGCTGCTGTCTCCATCGCCACACTCTGCCATGTGCCACTTTCAGGTCTCCTCACACTGCTGGTGTGTGTTGAATTTTTTGACATAGGGTGCTGGCAGATTACGGGCCTCCTATAGCTGCTAGCTGCCAGGCCCCTAATCTGCCATAGGCCCCTATATACCGCCTCCTCATGCTGCTGCCAGGTCCAGAGTCTGTCATGGGTCCCTGTACGGCCTCCCATTGCTGCTGTCTCCATCGCCACACTCTGCCATGTGCCACTTTCAGGTCTCCTCACACACTGCTGGTGTGTTGAATTTTTTGACATAGGGTGCTGGCAGATTACGGGCCTCCCATAGCTGCTGCCAGGCCCCTAATCTGCCATGGGCCCCTATATACCGCCTCCTCATGCTGCTGCCAAGTCCAGAGTCTGTCATGGGTCCCTGTACGGCCTCCCATTGCTGCTGTCTCCATCGCCACACTCTGCCATGTGCCACTTTCAGGTCTCCTCACACTGCTGGTGTGTTGAATTTTTTGACATAGGGTGCTGGCAGATTACGGGCCTCCCATAGCTGCTGCCAGGCCCCTAATCTGCCATAGGCCCCTATATACCGCCTCCTCATGCTGCTGCCAAGTCCAGAGTCTGTCATGGGTCCCTGTACGGCCTCCCATTGCTGCTGTCTCCATCGCCACACTCTGCCATGTGCCACTTTCAGGTCTCCTCACACACTGCTGGTGTGTTGAATTTTTTGACATAGGGTGCTGGCAGATTACGGGCCTCCCAGCTGCTGCCCAGGCCCCTAATCTGCCATAGGCCCCTATATACCGCCGCCTCCTCATGCTGCTGCCAGGTCCAGAGTCTCTCATGGGTCCCTGTACGGCCTCCCATTGCTGCTGTCTCCATCGCCACACTCTGCCATGTGCCACTTTCAGGTCTCCTCACACACTGCTGGTGTGTTGAATTTTTTTTGACATAGGGTGCTGGCAGATTACGGGCCTCCCATAGCTGCTGCCAGGCCCCCCTAATCTGCCATGGGCCCCCGTACCGACTCCTCATGCTGTGACGTTGCAACAAGGTGGAATTCAACCCTACATATGTTGTTAGACCGCCTTTACGAACAGCAAAAGGCCATCACAGATTTCCTGATGTTAAAAGCGGATAAAGGTACTCCCCCTGTGTAACTTAGATGTCAGCCATTGGCAGCTCATGCGTGACACCTGCGCTTGCTCAGGCCCTTTGAGGAGGCCACGCTATTCGTGAGTCGGCAGGACTATGGGATGAACGACGTCATTCCTCTGTTGCACGTCCTGGAACAAATGCTGTTAACAATGGCTGGTCAGGGTGCGGTAGACGTGGCGCACAGATCTCAACGCCACATGACCCCTGTGGGGGCAGGACAGGAAGAAGAGGAGGAGGTAGAGGAGGACATTGGTGCTCAGGAATTATTGAGTGAAATGGGTGGTTTTTCCACTCAGCGGACAGGAGTGGAGGAGCAGGAGCATCTGGTAGAGGAGGAGGAGGAGGAGACAGAGGACCCAGACGCACCGTGGCAGTATGCTGTGGAGTGGAGGCAGGGAGGCAGGCAGGGAGTCCCTCTGCTGTCTTCTGCATTCCTTGGCACAAATGGCCCATAGCATGCTCGCTGCTCGCTTGCTTGCGTAGCGACAGCCGAATAATAACCATCAGACAGAGGGATGACTTTTGGCTGTCCACCTTGTTGGACCCTCGCTACCGTTCAAAAATGGTGGCCTTTTTCACACCTGCTGAGAGGGAGGCCAAAATAACGTACTATAAAAACCACCTATGTAGTCAGCTGGTCTCTGCCTGTCTGCGCCAACGTCCATCCTCAGACACACTGTGGGCCCTGTGCGCTCGCGTTCCGCTGCCATGGCAGCAGGGGAGGGGTGGGGTGGTAGGAGCAGTGGCAGCTCCACCAGCAGCGGCTGCCTCAGTCTGCAGTCGATGATGAGTAGCTTTCTTCACCCAGCGCAGTGAGGAAACTACTAACCAGCCGCAGCAGCAGCAGCAGCAGCAGCAGCAGCAGCATGGACCTGGAGCAGGACCTCAAACAACAGGCTTAGCCTACTTGGACAGCACCCCAACCGAGCCAACCGAGGTAGACAATCCCCTTGACTACTGGGCAACGAAACTTGACCTTTGGCCCCAACTAGCTGAATTTGCCCTTGAAAGGCTGTCATGCCCGCCAGCCAGTAGCGTGGCATCGGAGCGCGTGTTTAGTGCGGCAGGAGGTATTGCAACTCCGCGGAGGACACGACTGTCCCCCAATCCCAAAGTGTGGAGAGACTCACGTTTGTGAAAATGAATCAGGCGTGGATTAGTCTGGATTTCAAACCACCAGTTCCTGACACAACTGACTAAATCCGCCATGAATCATGCCCCAAACATGTGCCACTTTCAGGTCTCCTCACACTGCTGGTGTGTTCCATTTTTTGTCATAGGGTGCTGGCAGATTACGGGCCTCCCATAGCTGCTGCCAGGCCCCTAATCTGCCATGGGCCCCTATACCGCCGCCTCCCTCATGCTGCTGCCAAGTCCAGAGTCTCTCATGGGTCCTGTACGGCCTCCCATTGCTGCTGTCTCCATCGCCACACTCTGCCATGTGCCACTTTCAGGTCTCCTCACACACTGCTGGTGTGTTCCATTTTTTCATAGGGTGCTGGCAGATTACGGGCCTCCCATAGCTGCTGCCAGGCCCCTAATCTGCCATGGGCCCCTATACCGCCTCCTCATGCTGCTGCCAGGTCCAGAGTCTCTCATGGGTCCCTGTACGGCCTCCCATTGCTGCTGTCTCCATCGCCACACTCTGCCATGTGCCACTTTCAGGTCTCCTCACACTGCTGGTGGGTTCCATTTTTTTTTTGTCATAGGGTGCTGGCAGATTACGGGCCTCCCATAGCTGCTGCCAGGCCCCTAATCTGCCATGGGCCCCCGTACCGACTCCTCATGCTGCTGCCAGGCCCGTAATCTGTCATGGGCCCCTGTTGTCGCTTGTTGGCATATTCCGCTCGTTCAGATGCTCCTTCTCCTACTCCTCTTCACGGATTCCGTCAGCAGTCTTTCTTGGAATCCGTTTCCAAGAGACAACAGTTTGCGAGCACGCACCCGACGGTGCAGAAGCTGAACGTCCTCCTGTCCAAGTTGCTGCTGCCTGCAGGCTCGTAATCTGTCATGCGCCCCTGTACCGCCCTCCTCATGCTGCTGCCAGGTCCAGAGTGTGTCATGGGCCCCCGTACCGACTCCTCATGCTGCTGCCAGGCCCGTAATCTGTCATGGGCCCCTGTACCGCCTCCCCCCCATGCTGCTGCCAGGTCCAGAGTGTGTCATGGGTCCCTGTACGGCCTCCCATTGCTGCTGCCAGGCCCGTAATCTGCCATGGGCCCCCGTACCGACTCCTCATGCTGCTGCCAGGCCCGTAATCTGTCATGGGCCCCTGTACCGCCTCCTCATGCTGCTGCTGCCAGGTCCAGAGTGTGTCATGGGTCCCTGTACGGCCTCCCATTGCTGCTGTCTCTATCGCCAACTCTGCCATGTGCCACTTTCAGGTCTCCTCACACTGCTGGTGGTTTCCATTTTTGTCATAGGGTGCTGTATGGCCTCCCATTGCTGCTGCCTCCACCGCCACACTGTGGCTCCACACTCTGGTTTTGGCCCCGTGACTGCCCAAATGAGTGAAGTGTGCGGTGATTCTAAGATCGACGGCACTCATCTGCATGTCATACTGACTGACAGTATTATTTCTCTTCCCCAGCAGACTCCAAGGGCATTTAAATTAAAGGTACAGTGTTCTGCACTAATATTAAGTCTCTCTGAAGCCTAGAAACACCCTTTTTTAAGTTAAATTCACAGCGAATATATTCGACTCGAATCGAAATTTTTCCACGAATTCGCCAACATCCAGGAGCACTCGGATGGGAACAGTTCAAGATGTTACCCTTGTCATATGAGCCTCTGCATACAGGTACGTGACACACACCAAATTGTCCTATGAAAGAATACAGAAGCTAGAAAACCCCCAATGCAGATGACTGAGGAACTAACTATCTGGTAGATGTCTCATTGTTCAGTGGGGATGCAAGCACACTGGTGCAATACTCCTACCTGTATCTCTATGTCGTCCTACTCCTGAAGTTAACTGTTGCACTTTGGAGGAAAGCCAAAGCCACTCTATAGGAGGGTTTCTTATTTCTGGAAAGGAATTACCACATTTATGCAATGTCAGAGTCTCCCAGTTGAAGAGTTGCCCATTCTTCCAAGGTATAGATTTCAACTACCTTTGGTAGCAGTTGGGTACCTTGAACTACTGGCACATTTTGACCTTGCACTTGTAATACTTGTGAAGGAGTCACTTAAATTTCTTCTAGACAGTGATCTACTGTATATCTCCTGCTTTTGTACATCATGGCGTTCTTGATGTGCAGGACTCTGAGATGCCACTTGGCTTCCAGAAACTGCAAGCATTCTGCCAAAAAGTCAGGTAATATTGTGATCATCATTTTGGAGGATGCCCCGGAAGAGGTGGTTTTGTAGCCACATGGTGTTTCTGCTCTGCCACAAGGTGGAGGTGAAATGACCTCTACCATAGGTGTGTCAGTGAGCAGACATTCCAACAATGTAGTAAGATCTGGACCCTCAGCACTCTCTGGGAGGCTGAAGAGCCTAATAATATACTGTGCTGCAGCCTGCTTCTGAAGCCATCTTGCTTCTGGGTCATCATATGGAGCCAATATTGTATCTGCCTGGAAGCATTTTGCTGTGGGGGACTACCATCTGACAAAGCTGAACCTACAACTCCTCAGCCCTATGAAATTGTGAAGATCATGACAGATTAAGGAGATATCTAACTTGACCTTTTCAATTCTTAGAAGTCAAGGTTGAAATATCCTCAAGGTCCCTGGAAGACCAATGCGGCTTGATCTGAGGGTCCACCATCTTCCCCATGTGCATGCTTTATCTTGGAAGTGATATTTATCCTATTTAGAGTTTGGAGCTCTCAGAGGGAGAGACATCTTTTACCATGTGTGGTGTGGGGAGGGGTAGCTGAGTGACACTGGAGATGGGATATCCAGATATCCTAACAGGATGAATGGTGAGTAGAGCTCTAGTCATATGCATCCTACTTCATGCTGTACCAGACCAAACCCAGTGGATTTTTAAAATTAATTAAATTGCCATCCCTTCCCATACTTGCTTGACTTGGGGAGGTAGAACCCTACAAGGGCAAAATACAAGTAAAAAATTTTTAAATATTGCAGTGAATGTTTTTGTGAGTGATCCCATCTATTATGCCATGCAATGTGAGCTCTAGAAGGAACACAAGGATTGGGTCACTAATCCATGCCTCATAGCAGGTCAACATTTTTTTTTATGCAGAGGTCCTAGATGATGGACCACTGACATGATAATAGAGTGATAATAGAGGAAAATGAAGGCAGAGGAAGAAAAGATAATAGAGGAAAGAGAGGAGGGGGAGGAGAGAGAAGGTGGTTTCATTAAGAATACTCAGCTTGACATTTGCTCAGGGTGTGTCCCTAGGGTTGGTGTCACCCGTGCGATAAACACTTGGTGACACCTCCTCCGACGATCCCCGCAGAATGGATCGGATCTGTGGATTGAACATAATGGATCGGAGTCCGATCCATTATGCTCCCCAATCCCAGATCCGATCCATCCTGCGGGGATCGTCAGCATGCAACCTATATGGGGTGACACTGGACCCGATGCACGAAATGGTAAGTTGTAAAGCAAGCCGACAATCCCCGTAGGATGGATCGGATCTGCGGACTGGGGAGCAGAATGGATCAGACTCAGAGAATCCAGCTTTCAGCTGCTGCAAGAGAGAAAGCCATACAGGGGATTGTTTCCAGTAATACTCCCTGCTGTGTCGATCACTCTCCCTGCCCACGTTTGATTCACCCAGCTGCCTAGGTTGACCTGCTTTACTGGGCCCCTTACAGGAGTACTTGTGGTACCCCCTTATCCACAGCCCTGGTGGTCAGAGGTGGTCAGAGTCAGGTTTTAATTTGTCCCATTGCTACTCTATGCGTAGAGTAGAAGTTGCAACCTTGTATTAAATCTGTCACACAATCTGTCCCACTACTCCTATTTAGCATTTACTTCTGTGCAACAGAATTGATTAATGTTCCCCTCAATGCACAGCTGACAAAAAACTACCTTTTGTGAAGAATGTCACTTTTTGTTTTCATTGTAATAAAATATTAAACCTTTTTAAACCTCTATACACGTTAAGATTGCTGATAAAATATTGAAGAAATTAACAAAACTTTGTAAATGAAATAAAAAAGAAACGTAGTTAAAAAGGGATCATTGGAACTGAAGTACAGGGAAATGTGGAACCTCGGACAGGCGGCCAACAAAGCAAAATTCCATCTGCACTCACAGCTTTCCCTGAGTCCCTTTGAAAGGTACTACAAATAGCTGCTGAGCTATGGCTGCACGAAATCCATCTTCATGCGATAAAGGGACAACTCAGTTGCACTGCTCCTGAATTAAGAGCAGAGTCGCCATTCTCATGTAGGCTGTGTCTGCCTGCACTATACTGGAATGAAACAAGGGTGTTAGTAGAGGATGTGGATATATAGCATTGTCACTGCTGATTCACAAGTCTGTAGCTTATTATTCAGCACCTGGTCAAATCCAGTTGCTGCCCACAGCTTTTGTGGATTTACAGAACTGATTGTGTTGTGGAAAGCCTTCCACTGTGAGCTGCAGTGTCTAGGAGGTGGAGCATGTGAGACCCAAATGATGGAGGATTTGGCTCAGTCAATGAAAATAAAGGAATGTTAAAACATTTGCTTATACATTAAATGGAAATGGATTTGGTACTGGTTCAGACTGTCAAACAAGAGCCTTTAGTTGTACTTTAAGTTTGATGAAATTTCAAGCTCATTTCTAGTGAATCAGGTGCTGGGCTTTTTCACATTTTCAGCAAGTACAGAAGACACATGTTGATCTTAACAGAAATGCAGTGTCCTTGTCGCTTCTTATGCTGAACTAAAAAAATACACAGTGTTATCTTTTGTCTGCAAATGGATGTTCCCCTTTTCACTTTTTGTAATAAAATAAAGGCCTCAATGCAATACAAATATTGAGAGTAGCTAATGGAACATTGAAGAAAACAGATAAAGGAGTGATAAAAAAAAATTTAGCCATCTTTTGTGAGGTGTTATGAAAAATGACCCTCCCCAAATAGGATATTGTGCTAAACCTGTAGGTGAAAAAAAGAACCAGAAGAGAACCAGAACCTTCGCTAAGAGGGTTTGATAAAAAAAAGTTGGCAGTGTCTTCACTCAAGACAGAATCTCTGTAATAGAGGGGATTTCCTTGTCAACCTTTTTATCGGACAGGAAGTGAAGGAACCTGTCCCATGGAGCCTCCAACAACAGTATAACCTGACAGAAGTTCTGATCTGTCCTTACTCTATCCAAAACATAAAGCTGAACTTTGGGCAAAAAAAAAGTTTTAGCTTGCAGTGGGGCTGTGCCCACACTGTAAGGGTTAATTACTCAATCTTTGTCTAGGGGGAGGTATACTTGCCTGATTCTCCGATCCACCCTGTGTAAGATCAATCCTTGCAGCTCCTTCAACCCTGAGCTCAAGTGGTTTGGAGTCCTGATATCATCAACTGTAGAGCAGGCTCCATAGACCAGCTTTGGATATAAGGATAACATGAACAGTCCATTACTGGATCGTGGGGGAGCACTGTTTGCAGTTGGAGTAAAGAATCAGGTGAGTATAAGGCTTTCTCCTCTGGACAAAATGTGCACTTAAAGTGTTACTAAACCCCGGACCCTGCATTCACTATATCTGGTCTCCCACAGTACACACAACATGGAAATGCAATTATTTTGGTAAATATAAACTGCTAAATACCTTTTTCTCATCAGCAGTTAGAGCAGTTTTGTGACTTCAGCAGAGCACTGGTTAAAGCTTGTAGGATGAGTTTTCTTTCTGCTCAAGGATGCACAACCCCTGACCTCTGTCTGGACAGAGCTGATTGGCCCTGTGCTGATCACATGCTTTCTCCCAAGAAAAGAAAAAACCTCTAACAATACACACCAAACTGAGCATGGCATGTGACTATGGATTCAGTCTGTATCAGATGGTCATTTCAACAAGAGGAGGGGCAGAGAAGAAAGGATCAAACAACCTTTTTTACACAATGCAGAGGATTAACCCCTTAGGTTTCCACAGTGGGTATAACAAGCATGCTTTACTGCATATACAGACTGATTTTACTGTTGTGGGTTTAGTAACACTTTAACCCTTGCAGTGCAGGCACAGCCCCACTGCAAGGGAAAAATGTTTTTTGTCCAGAGCCAGGCTTAAAAGAAAATGTTTTTGCTATAGATACACTTTAATTCAAAATACAAATCACTAACCAGATGTAGAGATCAATAGAATTATTTTCTGCAGATATATAACATCATTCTACAGAATTTAGATGTTGTATTTTAGATAAAATTATTAAACATTTTCTTCATAGATGAGAGAATTGCAACTTTGGAAAGTCAAATCGCTTCCTTACAGAGAAAATGGTCCTGGCTAAAAAAAGGTAATGGTGAATACAGGCATTGACATAAGGATGTGCTTTTCAAATCTGTCCCTAAAGTGAACCAATGAATGAGATGTATGAAGCTTGAGGTAGGCCCCCAAGTAGAGATTTTCATTGTAGAGTTTTTCAGGTTTCTCATAAAAACATACTTGTTGGGACATATTGGAACCTTTATTTTTTGCATTGTATTCATGCTTTAAGTTTAGTATACTTAACCAAGAACAGGA